CCCAACCGCACTTCCAGAGCATCTTGGGAGCCTTCCGTGATTGGCGGCTCCTGCTCAGCACATCTGAAGGCCTCTATGTTCTCCTCCTCTCCTTTGAGGCCTGGGGCAGTAGGCTTGTAACAATACCTTCGCTGGCTTCCCAGTGGGTGGAGGTTGGTTAGGGTCACTGGGTGAAAAGAAATGGCTGATGACACCCACCTACCTACTCATCCTCCTGCCAGCCTGGGGGATGTGCTTTCTGTGTTGCTGAGTTGGTTTTGTGCATTATCTTCCCTTCCCTAAAGTGGGGGGTGGGGGCGTCATTGAGTGCACAAGGATTACTCTATTTCTCATTTTTCTGAAGAGAAGTCTAAGGCTCAGTGGGGGGCGTGGCCCACACAGGGTCAGGGGAGTCACACGTGGCATTGCAGTAGCCAGATGGCCGTGGTTCTTCCAGGTTCCCGGCTCTGGTGGTTGGAGGACCAAGGCCAAGCAGGAAGTTGACCATTAGGAAGCTCCTGGGAGCAGGCCCTCTGTACAGTGCTGGGAGGGCTGCTCAGAGAAGCCAGTGGAGGGGGCATGGCCAGGGAAGTCTTTGCCCCACCACCGAGATGGCACAATTAACAGCCAATGAAGACAGACCGGCAGGGTGGCATTCCAGGGCCCTCTTGCCCAGATCAGACTCAATTACAGGGTACAATTACCTGCAGAAGTGCTGTGGGGTAGCTGCCTGCACATGCCATTTGAAGCTACTGGGGGAGATGCTTCTCTACCTGGCTCCAGTTATTCCCTTTGGGACCCTGCCTTCTAGATCCACCGACCTGGTTAAAGCACCATCTTGGTCGATGGAACTTGCTTCTAGGGGGAGACCATGTCTAATGTCAACATCTCTCTTAGGACAGTCATTCTGGTTTATCCTCAAGAAACACCACCCTCTGACTTTGGCCTCCAAGGCTCATGGGTAGGGCCAAGGTCCTGCCTTCCCCGTGAATTCATGAAGCATCCACTTCCACCCCAGAATTCACCCCGTCTTTGAAGGCTGGGAAGGCCTTACCTCGAGTTTTGTTTTCTTTGGGAAGGAGAGAGATGGTCTTTCCTTCCTGAAGGTAGACGAAGAACTGGTAACGATGGAAGCCACTTTGTGCTGGTGGGGAGGGAGGCGCGTAGGCTACAGGGAGAAAAAGGAGACAGGCTGGGCTCCACAGCCCGCGGTACCTGGCTGCTCCTGGCCACTCTGGGCAGGAGGGAAAGAGAATCATTCTGGGCCCTTCTCATAGTCCCTGCTGATCCTCCTGGGGTCCCAGCTGGGGGCCCACCTACTGCAAACGATTAGGATTTATCTTGGGCAGGGTCTCACCTTCAGTATCTTCGTTTAAGAAGCAGGTTATTTAGGGCGGCGGGGCGGCGGGGAGGAGGAGGTGTGGGCTGGTTGACGGTCTTGGGCTGGAGGGGCCCGGGCCCTTTCTGGGCCAGTGGGTCTTGGTATTGTCCTCTTTTCGCTTTAGTCTATCCTGATGGATTTCCTGCCTCAAGAGAAAGCCATCTTCCTCTGCAAGTGTGTTTGGCAGCAGATTTTTATTTATTTTTTCAGCATTTCCTTATGAACTCAATCCCCAAAGAAGCCAATTTCTTGGCTGGATCCGGAGGATCTGGAAGTGGTTACGGGGGTGGGTGGGACTCGGTTCAAAGGTTTGATCATAGAAGTTGTAGGATCTGGGTGCTTGGGGCACCAGAGTCCTTCCGGAGGAGACGGCCCATCTCCCTTCCCTTTGCTCTCCGTGCGGGAGGCACTCTTTTCTGGAGGAAAAGTGGGGTGGGGACAACTCTCATCCTCCCCCCAAGTCTTTGCAGGGCCCTGGGGTTTTGCAGGCCGGACTTTTGTGGGCTGTTCCAGCTGGGCCTCCTTCCAAGAGTGTGGTGCCTCTTCCCCTCGCCTTGGCTCGCTTCATCTCCCTTTCCAAGGAGCCAAACATCTTCCTGGGGGTGGGATGGAGTGTTTGCAAGGAGGATGCTGGTGGGAGGGAGTATTGGTACATTGTGGCCACCGCCCTCTTCTGATCATTAGACAAGAGCCACCGGCTGCTTGGAGCTGAGGAAGTGCTCCCTGTTGTGCACTTCCGGCCGCTGGGGCCTCCGGCGTGCCCACAGCCAGGGGAATTCCTGACTATTCATCTCTCCCTGGGTTTCTGGATTGTAGATCAGATGTGTGTGTGTGTGTGTGTGTGCGCGTGCGTGCGCACGCGAGTGCAGAGTGAGAACAGCACAGGGTGTGCCAGAACCTTGTGAGTTGGGGTCTACGCTGGGGTGATGCAGACATCGAGCCAAGGCCGTTTTGGAGGGTCTCTGTCAGTCTGTGTGTCATTGTGGGTAATTGATGCTTTTTCACAAACACTGCCAACCAGTAACGGAATTCACTGGTTCTGTGCACCCGGGAATTTATCCTCAGGGGAGTTGGAGATGGAACCCCTTCTCACTAGGGTTTTCCTGACAAGGCTCCCCCTCTCAAAGTAGAGACGTGAGGCAGGAGGAGGAAGGGCAGGGGTACCCAGATGTTGAGCTGTTTTTCAGGGCCAGGCCCTGGCTAAGTGCTTTCCCTCGTCACATCTCCCTGATCCTCAGTACAGCTCGGTAAGCGGGGGTGTTCTTGCCATTTTCTGGATGAGGACACTGAGGCTCTGAGAGGCTAAGTAAGGCTGACAGAAGCGGTGGAGCTGGGCTTTGGATCCAGGCCTTTCTGGTGCCCCAGTTTGAGTTGCTTCATGGAACCGTGATGCTTGGTTGGTTTTTCTTGCTCAGCCCTTTGCCAGAGGCCAGCTCACCACCTGAGTATTCCCTTTAAGTTGAATGGAGGGCATGCCCTTGAGGGCGGGATCCCATAGGGAGGGGAGGCAGGGAGCTTGTGGTGAGGAGAGGGGTGGGAAGAGAAAAGGGAGGTCCATGAAGCAATGCACAACCACTTGGTGGAACTGGGGGCAGGGGAGCTAGAGGGGGGCGGAGTGAAGGGAGCAACCCGCCCATCCCTGCTGGGCAGGGGGGTGGGGGGAGGTTCTGGTTCCAGGTTCTCTCCCAGCACAGCCCTACACATTAATGCTGGCTCCATCCCTTACTGGTTGTGTGACATGGGGCAGGTGGATCTGTGCCTCTGTTTGGTTCTCTTTAAAATGGAGATATTAATGGCAAGTGAACTCCTGGAGGAGTGCTTTGCACACGGGGAAGTGTCCACACTAAGTTGATTCCTGTGATCGCCCTCAATCGTTGCCCTGGCTGGGGAAAGGGGCGCTGGAGGGTCTTACTCACGCGATAACTCCTGGCCTTGAATCTTTCCTTTCCTTATGTCAGAGCCCTGAAAATAAGAGACAAGAATGGGTGAGGTTTACTCCAGGGGCAGCAGAAGGCCACACCATCATCACACTTAGTCCAGCTGGGTTCTACTGAGGTCTTCCTCGGAGGGAGTAGGACAGAAGAGGAGGAAGGTACATGGCTGCCCCGGATGCTGCCAGAGCAGGTGGTGGGGTTTGGAATGGTGCCTCAGGGACTCTGGGGAGAGAGGACACACACACAGAAGTGGCTGAGGGTGGCTCTGGGGAGCCGGAGGACACCGAGAGGACACTTCCGGAAGGGCTGCCCCACTCTTACCATCCATGTAAGCGGGCTGGGCCCAGGACGCAACTCTCATCCTGTGGGGTCTGGCCAGATCTGGGCCGGGGGCTGACCATCCTCACAGGCTCTCTTTGGGGCCTTCAGATTGGCTGCCTGAGTGACCAGAAGGACAAGGAAGGGCCAGAGGAGGCCTGACTGCCTGATTCTGAGGCAGCTACTTCCCCAGCCTCCACTGGACTCAGCCCACAAGCCTGGGGGTAGATTCTCGGGCCCCTGGACTAGCCTCCGTTTCCCTCCTTCTCTTCCTCCTCTTCCCCTCCCTTCTCCCCTTTGGTTAGAGTCTGTGGGATAATGAGGTGATCCCGGGGGCGGGTGCTAATTATTGTTTGTGCAGGACCGGGAGATACTCAGATGAAAGGCACTGGAGCCGGGCCCCTGGGTCCGTGCCACAGCTCAGGGCCCCAGGCCATGCCAGGGAGTCCAGCGGCCCCTAGGTGTGGGGTTTTATAGCCTTAATGATGGTGATTAGCCTGGCTCTTCACTGACTCTGCCAGCACCTAACTGTGCCCTGGCCACCCTTCCACCAAGCCCTTCTGGTGCAGCCCCTGCTCCTTCCCCTTGAGAGGTGCTCAGGGTAGAAGCTGGGGGGACCAGGGATATTGGAGGCGGGGCATGGGGGCGGGGAGCACGCGACTCCTTCTCAGTTCTCTGCAGAGATCCTCAGAGTCAGCTGGGTGACCCAAACCCTAGTGTGGTTTAGTTTTTACAAAACTCAAGCCCTTCCCCCATTCCAGAACCCCCACCCCCCAACGCCCATTCTCCCTCCCTAAGGGCTGTAGCTTGCCCACTGACTCTTCCTGCTTGGGGCCTCTTTTTGCCAGAACGTCCCTCTCCCCCAGGCTCCTCCATGTCCATCTAGGTTACCTCTGGTTGGTAGGAGGAGCAGGAGACTGCAGAAGGGTGGATCCCCTACTTTAAGCCCCCTCCCACCTTAGTTCCTTCACATTCTTTGACATCCTCGCCCCCTCCCTCACCCCATTTTATCCGCTCAGGAGCGGAAGCTGCAGAGCACACTCGAGCTCTGCCTTGGCCCTCTCAGCACAGCCCCCCCCCCCCACTGTTAGGCCTGGCCTTATCCAGGGCTGGCATGAGGCCCAGCAGTGGCCAGAGGCTGAGGTGCCGGGGCACCAGGATGAGGGGCATGGAGGCCCCTCTCCTGAATACCCTTCTCTCCCAGGAGAGGCGGGGAGGGCCCGAGGCCTCACAGCCACTCTCCCCGAATAGCTCTCTGGGCACCCTGAAGATTGGGAGGTGGGGGCTGAGGCCAGGGAAGCCCAGCCCAGACCAGCCTCCTCTGCGCTCCCAGCCTCCCCCTCGCTCCTTTCCAAGTCAGCCCAGCCAGTGGTTTGTTTAAACAAAACAATAGCAACCTAAGCTGGCTGTTTCTTTTCAATTCCCCACAGGCTTGGGTCCCACCCAGAGTGATAAACAGGCCTCTCTCCTGGTGTGAGTGCAGGGAGGGGGCGAGGGTGCGGATGGGCCCTGGGCCCGTAAGGTCAGGACAGTGTGGAAAGTCTGATTGGAGCCTTGATCAGGGTGGGAAGGCTCTCGGTCCCCTCCCTTTCACTCTGGGGAGTCTTTTCTCATCGACTGGGGCCAGCTTGGCAGAGACACACGAGAACCCTTGGAATCGTTGTAAAGCTGGCAGCCCTGCCTGCCCGCCTTCTCCTGCTGGCTTCTCCTGAGCTCAGCTGCCAGGGAGCCCTGAGCAGAGGGCACTGATGGCCTTGAGAGCCTTTAGAGTCTCTCTGGAGCTTGTGCCATGGACAGGGGCTGGTCCTGGCTGGAAAGAGGAGCAGGGAGGGGAGGCTCTGAGGAAGGACTGGGCTGTAGAGGGGCTCCCTGAGTGAGGTCGGCATGGCTGGTGCTTATCTGCATTGGGTTGAGGACTGGCTAAGTTCCCTCTGGCCATAAAGCTTCCCTCCCCGGTCTGTCCTGGGGAGCCTAAAATTTCTCCCATAGAATCAACACCTGATGGGGGCCTTAGAAACCAAATCCAAGGGGGAGAAAGTTGAGTCCCCAGAGAGGTCAGACTGCTTGTCCAGAGCCACACGAGCAGTGAGTGGGAGGATCCCAGAATGTTCCAGGAGGAGGAGGCCTCCAACCATTCGAACTTTGACCCACAGTGCTGACCAGTGTGCTGCTTCTATGACATCATGACAATCCCACCCCTCCTCTAGGAGGTGTTTCTTGGGAAGACCATGCACAGACATTACCTGGAGGACTGGGGCTGCCGTGGAAACAGTTACCCCCAGCCCCATGTGAAAACTCAAGCTCTCCTAAGACATCTTCGTGGGCTGGAGTATCACAGGTAGCCTGAGATCACTGAGAAGGCTGGAAAGCTCCAGGGATGGATGAGATTTGGGGACATTTTGAAGGGGAGAGGGGGGAATCTATTGTTCAGAGCACTTTCCAGGGAGTGTGGACTGAGGGAAGGGCCCTGAGGGTTGGCGATGAGCCTGCATTTGAGGACCAGGCCCCATACCTGTCACGTGTGAGCAGAGAAGAGCTTTGGAAGGGAGAGCCTGCTGGAGGGGAGGGCTGCTGGGAACTGCCACCACCTCCATCCCCAGCCCCAGCCCCCAGGTATGCTGCTCCTCTTCAAGATGGGCCCCCGGCACAGATAAACTCCCTTCCCCTTATTATAGGTAAGAGAGGTGGACATTTTCAGAAGGAACTTGTCTAAATACTGATTTGAAAAAGGAAAGAATGACAGAAATTACAAACAGTGTAAAAATAGTTGGATTTCTAATCCTCAAGAATACTTAGAAGCGCAGGGTGGGTTTTTCATGATACCCGGACAGGAGCACCTGGAGTGTCAGTTTTCCTGCCTTACCCACTCCCTAACTGGTGTTCCCTTGTGTCCTCTTGAAAATAAACTACTTGCACTGGAATCCTTGTCTCAGACTCTGCTTCTGGGACCCCAAGCTCAGACAGTAAGGACCCAACAGACGTTTGTGGGATGAAGGACGTGATGACTGAAGGCTTTGTCCAAGGTGTCAGAGGTAGCTGGTCTAGTCTGTTCTCCTGACTCTTGGTCCTGGCCTCTTCTGATGAGACCACACTGCTGCAGTCTGGACCTGGATCCTTCTGGCCTCCTGGACCAGGCCCCGGAGTTCCCTGGCAGAATTGGTCCCTGGTACATTGAGCCCTTGGAGAACCACAAACAAGAGCCAACTAGATGAAAGTCACCTTTATCCTTTGTTTCTTGTCCCCTTGGGGAGCCAGAGAGCTGCATTCCCTGAGAATTGAGGGCCCAGGGATGACCCTCCCTCAGCCTGGGGAACCCTTTAGGTAAGGGCTTTTTGAGACATGGTGTCCAGAGTTAGGTTGTGAGGTCTGGAGGGTGGGGAAGGGGCCCGGCTCAGCGCTCATCTCAGCAGGGAGGCCGATCCAGTTTCCTCATTCTCCTTCAATTACCTACAGGCAACTGCCCGCCCACCCGGGCATTTGTGAAGGCCCAGGTACTCAGACTTGCTGACCCCCCGAGCAGAGGGTCAGCAGCATGTTTCCTCAAGTGCACGGGAGATGATTTAATCTCTTCACCCACCTCTTCCCATCTGGACAGGAGGATTCAATCACTTCTCCTGCCTGGCTCAAACCTCAGTCAGAGTGGGAAGTTTCAGTTTTTGATCTCTGGGTGGGTGGGTGGGGGGCATCGGGAGTGAGAGTCCTGAACTTGAAAGTTGAGGTGCAGAAAGAAGTCGTGGAGATAAGGGAGAGTGGAGGGAGAAATGAGCAAAACAGAGCACTTATGGGGAAAATGCAGAGAAAAGGGAAAATAGGACAGAGTTCCCGGCTCTCTGACACTGGCACCAAACGAGAAAGCTCCTTGCTGTTTTGCACAGCTGCTTGCAAGCTGCCAAGTGGCAAAGGATCTAGGAAAAGGCACAAGATGGGAAAGTGCTACCCAGCAATCTGTGGATTCTGCAATTCACAAGGGGTAAGTAAGTGGAAGGCACTGACAGCTCCTGGGCTCAGAGACCCCCAGGGGCTGTGGCTGCCTGGCCGCCTAACACTGGCCTGGAGAGGACCCAGCCCTGGAGGCTGTGCCTGCTCTGAGGGAAGGGCTGCGATCATCCTGTGGCCTGCTTTTTTGCCCTGGGGCTGGGAAAAGGAGGGCCGGGCCACTGAGGTGGGTGGAGTGGAGTCTGTGGGAAGCGGTGAGAAGGAGGCACAGAACTGAATCCTCCTGGGAGCTGAGTGCTTCCAGGCTCCAGGGTGTAGGATGGCCAGTTATTCTGTGCACCAGTTTCCCTCAAGAAGTATCAACATCCAACACCTGGTAGCCTCTTCCTGACACCTTCACGGGCAGCGGGGCTGCACGGGGAATACCGTCTTTAGAAAACGCCCATGGATGGCCAGCAGATTCTGGTATTGGGTACCAGTTGGCAACAGGACTCTTGGGTTTGGCTTCAGATCTGGAGTCAGTTACTTCCCTGGGTCTCCAGATGCCAAATGGGTTGTGGTTCAGTGTGGCTGATCTGCTTCTTGGAGTGAGTAGTCACCCAGATGTGAGGGGCTTCACCACTTTCCACGACACTGGGTTAACAGGCAAGATTTCCCAAGGCCAGAGTCATGGTTGCTTGTGGCCTAAAAAGTACGGGCTGTCCAAGCCCTTTGTTCCAGGCCACGTGGACATGTCTGGTTCCCAAATAGGCCACGCTGTCTGCCACCTGTGTG